CCCCAAAACCCCAAAACCCCAAAACCCCAAAACCCCAAAACCCCTAATAAAGTCAGAAATATTGAAAATGGCTACCTCAGCTTTGATTCCAAAGTTACTTGTTTTTAATATTTTTATTAAAAATGAAAATTGCCAGGTTATGAAATCAACTCTAAGCAAGAAAATTTATAATCAGAACAATTTTTTGTCAAATTTACACAAGCTAGCAGGCCTTGTCAGAAAGGTTATGTACAGAACTTAAAGCATTATAATCATTAGTTTCCAGAATGGATAGTGACCTGACAAGTTACGATATTAATGACATGGCTTCAAAATGAAGGTCAAAGTCAGAGATATACAATTTGATAAGTAAGAGAGCTCAGATCTACCTACCACTGAAGCCATATGTCAATTGAGACTATGTTGCCTACATCTTTGATGGTGTAAAACTGGCAAGGAGCAAAATTTAAAGCATTTAGTTTTCTTGTATGAGCAAGTAATCCCAGCAAAAGTACTCAATGTTGAAGGACTGCGGCTGATAGATCCTGAAGTTTGCGAATCACAGAAGTAATATTCGGAGATACCTTCAAGACTAGATGATATATAGGCACTCATCAAGACATTGGGTATGCAATGTTGGCAAATCTTTTTCTTCTAATCTGTACATATAGAAAATACTTTGATTAGAGAATATTTTACCGATTTCTTCGACAAAGTAATGGTTAGTAGAGAGAACGAATTTATAGAAAACAGGAATATCTCACCGAGTATCCCTCTAAGGTTCGCTAAAGATTTCACTGAAGAAGGCTCACATTTAAGTAAGTTAAAGATCTGAATGATAACTAGGAACAAAAGGAAGGTTTTATCAGCTAGTTAACAGAGCTAAGAGTAGGAGAGGTGCAGAGTTGGACAAACAGGCTGAAAAGAAGGACAAAATGAAAAAGGAGGACAGAATTTCAGGACAAGAGGAACACCGGAAAATGAAGACAGAGATCGCCAAATTCTAAAAGCTGCATGAGAAGAAAGACGAGCATGCATCAAAGTTAAACAGACTTCACTAATCATGAGTGATTGATAAAGCAGGAAACCCTATTTATTCTTCTCTTTAATAAAAATTGTTGCTAGTATTTAATCTCTTTGGAGTAATCAGGCTCTGGGAGCACTCTTACAGGCTCGGTTAGCTAAATTTAATGGATTTTGCAGATTTAAATTTATCAAGAGTAAATCCCAAAACTAGTTTGATAGTAATTATGATAATTTGGGAGACTAAGTGAGAAACAGAAGATGCATGGTAGCTGGTTTGCATTTAAAGCAAAATAATAGAAACTACCTGATATCACCAAATGAAGAGGATTCAGATCCAAACGGGTTACACGGAGGTGATGAGAAGTACCAAGTCAAAGAGACATCTGATTCTTATCAAAGAGAGGTAGCACAATGAGAGTCATTGATAGGCTCAAAATATTGAGGATAAAATTTGGAGATGACTTAAAAGAAGGCAAAGAAAAAGAGCATTGGCCTCATTATAAGAGAAGAGTATCTAAACAAAGTGTATATGACCAAGAGAGTCCAGAAATGCTGTAAGAGTGAGCATGCTCAAATATGAGAATAGTAGTATGGTCTGGACATGTATTAGGACATGAAGAGGCCTTTAGAGTTCTTGAGCTTCTTCTACTTATAAGGCCATTTACCCAATTTATCAACATTCAATAGAACCTTCTAAATATGGGGTTTTGGGGTTTTGGGGTTTTGGGGTTTTGGGG